GTTTTGTTGAATTTCAGATCTAGTTAGTGAGTATAAAAGCCGTTTTTATATTTCCGGTGTAGTTTTGTTCAGGATAAAGCAAAGTCGGAAAAAACGTAGAAAGAACGAAAAGTTTAAGGAAGTATTAGTTGTATTATTTTAAATTTTGTTTTTTTGTTGTAATTCAGTTAAAAATATTCGTACTGACTTGAAATTTTCTCAGAAAACTCATATTGGCCTTTTATAGATATAGCAAACTGTTCAAAATATTCTGAAAATATTTTTGAGTGGTAGAATTTTTTTTATAGTTATTTTAAGATTAAATTTTGATAAAAATTGTTCGTATTACGACATTTTTAAACATATATAAATAAAATTCACTTAGAATCGTATTTGTTATGGATGGTTTAAAGCGGTTGTTTAAAGATTAATATTAAATAACTTAAAGTATCCTACCTTTTCAATTTCCCACCTTTTTTGTTTCATTTCAGCCCAAAACAAGGTATAAGTAGAAAAAAACATAGCCAAAGGGGTTCTCTTATATCCACCACTGGTATCAGTATTAACTTTAAATCCTTAATCGTACAGTGTTGACCACGATAAAAGATATACAAGATATGTATTTTTAATCGCGGTATTTACTGATAACATATAAACATGTTTTATAACCGTTAAAATTAGATATTAGTATTATTACATTATTTTAAATATTGTTGAAATAATATAATACTCATCACTATGGAGTGAAAAGGACATTATTGTCAACGATTAGTTTCCTACGACATTATTGTCCTATATTTGTTCGTTGTGTTGTTAGCATTCGATGATCGTCGTACACATTATGTACTGCGAATTATTCTTTGAACACGAATCATTCAAGCATGAAAATGTCGAAAAAGTAACAAAAATGTCCATCGCAATGGTCGTACTGGTGCCGTCTTCTGACGTGCAACCATAAGTACATAATTTGTTGTTCCTTTCAGATTGTAAGCATTTCAAGGAATATGTGGGTTTTACTCTTGAATGTTTTAATTATTAATATTTTTTATGTTCAATGTGTGTTAACTTTTCTATACCAGAAATCTTGCCGCCTAAAGATATTTTACATCGCGACTTTTTGTGGCGGTAGCGGCGTTCGTAATAATGTACGTTTTTACGACGTGATAGAAAGGGGACGTTTTCGTAATGCAAAAAAAAATATACCCGAGAATATTATTTGTATATTAATCTCTGTTTTATGAGAAACGTCGTTTTCGGTGTCAGATATCTGCGCTATCATACTCGTAAATATTGAAACGAAATGGCGTCGTAAAGTAAACAAATTCTACTCGGTCGACCGTAATAGTTGTCGATGCTAGTCTATCCGTGTGTTTCTCATTAATATTTTACCATTTTCCTCATCTGCAGTCCGTCCGGTGGAATCATATGTTTTACACTCAATCTACATTTTTCGCACACCACCTACTATCATCAGTGCAATAGATAACGCGAATTCCGTACGACGGTGTAGTGCACTCTTTATCTATACGTGTGCAACAAAACGACAGCGTCGATTTTGACAGTGTGGCGGTGAGTGTATATGGATTGCATTTGATAATCGTGCAATATGAGCGGGTACTTTCATTTGATTACTGTTAGTAAATTAACGGTGCGTTATGATAATGCGACAATTAAACAATAGCCACGGTCCACTTCATATCATAATACATCATGTATACAAATGGTGGCTAATAATCTGAACACTTGACAAAAAAAAAAAAAATCTACGTGCCTATTATTATTGTTATCAAACGATCGTTGTTTGCAATCGAATTTTTCTCTCTCGAAAAACATCGCATTTCGAGTTTAGCAAAGTTTTTTATTTTTTCGTCATTTCAGATGCACGCTGCGAGAAAGAGTACAGCCGCGCTCCGACCATACCGGTACTGGGCAACAACACCATGCCGATATTGTCGTAATGTCATTATTATTAATTTAATTTATTTATTATTAATTCCAATTTATCGTTTTATTATTGACAAAGCATTGTATTAATTCTTAAAGGACCTGACGAATGATACAATTTCCCCTTTGATTTTCAATGACCTTTTAAATTGTGTTTTTTATTTTATTTCTGTCGTTTTTTTTATTACTGCTGTATTCTATCCTCGGTCAAACTCATTTCGTTCTTAAAACAGCACGAAATAACAGTTTAGTGATGCGAATAGATTATTGAACTAATTTTCATTACTATATTACAGAAGTTTTACTTAGTTGGTTAGTCAAACATTAGTGTAATCAAATAAATAAACTTGAATGTCCGAAAGTCATCGGGGCCTACCGAGTTTTACTCGGTAACTCACCAGGCCAACCGAGCCCCGGATATAGTAAACACTGATGTTTATAAATTAGCTATTAAAAATGGTGTTGTAAATCAATTATACACCAGAAATCAGTTTTCGGTACCTATTTAAAGAAAATTTAATATACATTGCTGATGTACTAAGGGATTAACAAATTTCCTTAAGGAAAGTTTCTGCAATCGAATTCGTCAATTTGTAGACAAGAATATACGTAGTGTAATTGTAATTGTAGGTATTACCATCCATACAGACATTTGTGTTTTTTATATCAACCGTTTAAACTCTATTTTACCACTGCAGTAAAATTAGCGATTTATTCCTGAAACCATATTATTAGTATGCATACGAATATAATACAGTGTGCAACGTACAATTCAAAATGTATGGGTATAACACACGATATGTTTGAGTATATTTTTAAAACAAACATCAAGAATATATTTACAATTTTTTTGAAAAACAGCTCTGTTGGAAAACCTAATTAAAAATCAAATATAAAATCGAAAAGAACAAAAAAATGTTTTTAATTAATAGGTTATTTTCATTACACGTCTTATGAAAATATTATAATATTATTTTAAACAATAAATTATCCATAACAATTGTATGTTCGTGAACAGTGTGGTGTACATAATAAAGAGTGAGATTATGTACCCCTTGATATTTGTCCAATGCCTTTGATAATTATAAGATCGCATAACTATTATTATTTTTTGAAATAGAAATTCTTATACTTTTTTGTCAGAAAATATGTTCACAAAATAAAAACCTGATCATCACAAACGTCATATGGATACATTTTCTTGTTTAAAATGAAACCTATCCGAAACACCTTAATACGGAGAAGAGGTAAAATTATTACTTGAATAGTAAATAAACTGATAATAGTTACTGATATCAAATTATTTGATTTCGATTGTAATTTTATGGCAGATTGAATTATAAATTACTTACAAATAAATCGGGTTTTTTTTTTCAGCCTAATATTATGTGCAGTCGTACAAAATAAAATTCAGTTTTCCAAAAATCTTCCTCTTTAGTCGAATCCTAAATACGTCACTGTTCGATAAATTCGGATTTTCTATGAAATCTGCGTTTATTTTATACACGTCGTTATGCTATAATGTTCTCTCTGGTATGAGTGTTTAATAATAATACATAATACATATACGATAACGTCGATATAAAAAATATGATAAGTACCTACATATTATAATACGCGCTTTTATTTCACGATAGACATAATATTAATATATGTATGTATGCAAATACGGTTTGAAAATCTTACCTTTTTGACGACTGCTTCGGATGCTCGTATTCGGAAACGAATCGATCTGAAAAAAAATTAAATTTAATGTATACTATTACGATAGAACGCGGCAATGCAGTTTTTTTTTTTTTTTTCAACAAAATCGTTTCAAATTTTAATAAATTATGGAATAAAAAATTTGAATTCAAACACAAGTTTATGGTTTATTAGAAATAATAATACGTGGTTTATAAACTTATCCATACGTATTTCATATTATAATTTTCGGAGGAAAATAACAAAAACAGAAAATACTAGGCCAACTATAAGACACTAACTATAAATATCTACATCGGTTTTTAGATTGTTTCGACTCGTCGCTGTAGTTTCACTCTCAATTTCACAAAGTTTGCTTAGAAATTCGTACAGAAGGTAATGATTGTTGTAGGCGGAAAGCTGGGAAAGGCATATATCATATATGTACATATCATGGGGTATGGACCGCATAGGTTAATTCCGTTTATATGCCGAGTTGTACGGCAAACCGTAACAAACGAAAAACAATTCTGAGTGTGACTCGGTAAACCTCAAATGTTAGCTGATTCCTAATCATCGATCGTGTTTGTTTTATTCTCTTAAAACCAAAACGTATCCCGAAAGGTTTACACGAAAAAATCAAAAAAAATCGGTAAATCGTTATATTTAATGGCAGGTTTTAAGAAAGAAAAAAAAATATAGAAAAACTTTCGGGAATCCGGAGAAACGTTTCGAATAGTGTACTACCGGGAAAAAAATCGTCCGTTTCAAGGTACGGTTTTAAACAGTTTGACGGATTTTTACCAACCCGAAAGCGTTTTCCCGGGTAAATTCACAGAAACAATATATAATATTTTCTTCGCCGCTCTCGGAATCTGAACATATACGCGGGTATACAAACACCGATTAAATTTCTCTAACCCGACGTTCAGAATTTATATGTCTACTTTTGCGCGTTATAGTGCTCGTACCGCGTGAACTGGAAACAGTAATATTTATCGTGTGTACACGCGTATAAAAAAAATCACAGCAAACCGTATTTTCCCGCGCGTCAACCATATGGGTAAACCTACCTGCGTATTGATTTATACCGCGGAGTATAAATTACGGTATATACGTATCGTCTCCGGATTATTAGTTTAAACCATTAGTCCAAGTATAGGCAGTGCCTCGGACGGACTGCAGTTTCATTATATTATTATCGCGCGTATTGTAACCGTACGTGTACGCAAACAGATGGGTTTCAAAACAAAGTTCAGCCTACACGATAGTGGCCACCGCGGTGCAGCGTATAATGATGAATGGACGGACGCCATTGTAATAAATTAACCTCAAGTTTTGTGAACAGTGGTCACTGAACACCCTAAACAGCCCGTGCAACAATAATAATTTTTATGGGACGTGTACGGAATTTAAACTTGTTGGATTCCGAATGTCACGAGCAATCGGAGATGAGCGATACCCGAACATTGAGAGCCTTGGCGGACTCGTCATTTGATAGCTACCGGTGTTCTGAAGTGTCTTGGTACGGAAGTTATATGGGAAAATTTCCAAGGGCCATTTCGGAAACCGTTGGATGGACAGAATCAAGGATGATTGTATCAAATGCGCCCGGGGTACAACAGAATATATCGCGAAAAGAAGTAGACGACGAGGGATGACAATCGAGGCAGCCAGAATCCTTAAGAATCCTTAGAATATTATGGGAAAGAAGAAGAATCTATACTTGACTACGAATTGTTTTATACGTGTTTATCGCTTATCGTTTTAAATTAATAAAATATTTAAATCTATACCAAAAATAACTTTAATTTCGATATTCAATACTGTATCGAATATAGAAGGTCCTGAGATATTGATGTGTTGAATCACTAATCCGAACGAGGAATGTATTAGTTTTACTACCGTACGCGAGCATTTTTTTTTTCTATCTTAGAATATTGCTCTAATTATAATCAACTTCAAAGGTGAGGAAGGTTAGGATAACAAATCTGATAACAAATTTTGACTGGTGATTGGAGGAGTTACTATTTTTTTCGAATATACACGAAAATCATCGAGTTAAATATCCAATCAAGTGCCACTCAAAATCGTATTAACCATTCACCTCCCCCGTCCTCTGTAATATTGTAATCTTGTGCAATATTATTATTATTGGTTTTTGTTTTACTGCAACGAGTGTAACGCAGGGATTTTTATAGTTAATTCACATACTTATAGCCCGTTATTCGTTTTCCACCTACCGCACATATTATATACATATTTAAGCGGTCGTACCAGTTTTTTAAACTTTTTTTTTTTTATATATTAATATTTATTATATTGTGTTTTTATAATAATATATTAGGTTCAGGTACGTTATAATAATATGATAAATACCTCACTATATGCCCACTGACCACTGACAAAATATTATTATTTTATGTTCCTCGTGGCGACCCCAGTTTTAGACAAATATTATACATACATATTTTTCCACGATTTAATTATTTATTACTTTCTAAAAGATTCGTCTTCTTCTCCAGAAAAAAAAAATTCAACTAAAACCATTATCTTACGCCTAAAGATTTTCTCATAAAATATGCCTATTTTTTTTTTTTGTTATGGTAATTATATACACGCATTGTAACCAATAATACGAGCGTATAATAATTAAATATTATATTATGTTAAACCTATTTATTTTTACCTCAATCTACATACCTGTATATTAAATTATTATTTTTTATTTTTATTTATTTTTTTTTTTTAATAAATGCATACTATACCTATAATAATATATAGGTTGAGAGATGCGTGTTTTCTAAAATTCAATAATTAGAATTTTAATAAAATAAACGATTTCACCATAATTTTATGTCTTCATTTTAGTAGGTACGTCCTATTTACACGTGTTAAATACATACCTATAGCTAATAAACTTAAAATCTTAATAAATCATAAATATTGACCATCGAGATAGATGTTTTAAATTAGAAATTATATTGATATTTGTTTTGTTTTTTTTTTTCACTTATATAAAATGTGAACGGATGTGTACGTATTATGGCGTAGGTATATCAGTATGTGTACACTTTGAATACCGCTATATAATTCGTTTATTGATTCAAACAAATCGTGCCAAATTATATAATTTATATATAAACGCAGCAAAAGCGCCTCGGCCAGTCTCCCGCATTATATCGCAAATTTATTACGTCAATAGATTTCGATCGATATTTTGTTTGTGACGTGAGCAAACATTATCACTAAACGATATAAGATTGCATCACAAAATAGATGACTGAGTCAATAGTACTTTTTTCTCTGCGAGTAAACAATGTTGGATATAGAAACACACAAGATGGTATTTGATTATGATTATGACAGATCCGTTACGTGGTCACGCCACAAGAAATCGCGCGTCAACCTCCGTTGATTCGTGTTGACGGAAACTGACAAAAAAATTATTTATAATGTGCACAGAAGTCTGATTATAGATTATTAACAGTGGAAAACGGAATATGACTATTACTTATTTGTAATAGCGATGAATTTTTTGAAAAAAATAATTGAATTCCTGTAATAATTTCCAAATGAGAGGAGGGGGATTTGATTTAAACCCCAAACGCCCTTCCGCCTACGCCCCTGGCTGGTCAGACAGTATCAAGCTATAAACACCAGAAATGACTAGAAAATAGAAAAACAACAAATACAATAGTGAATAGTATTGCTTTGTCAATATATATTGTAATACGTTAAAATAATTGCATATGCATTAAACATTGTTTTCAATAATATTTGTTTAATATTGTACCTATTTCCCCGTGTTTTTTTTTCTTGGTTTTTCCATTTATTGCGAAAACTCCTGGTAAAATCAAAAAATGGCCTCCCTAAACTACAACAGGAAAATTCCCTTGCGAAAAATGTGCAAGGTGCTCTACTTGATACTTCGGAGCAAGATTTCTAGTAGAATTGTTATACACATTAAAAAAAAATAAAAATAAACATCTTTGTAAAACCAATATATTATCCATTGCACTGAGAATCTAACATAAATACAAACAAATTTTGTTTTTAATTTTAAAATACACATTTCGGTATACTTAAAGGTTCAAAATCTGGGTAGGCCCGTACCTATCAGGTCTATCTGCTGGACATGCCTCTGGTTTTTAATTGTACACGATCCATAACTGTCTGTCGTTCTGTTAGGTTTCATGCAACCCGGAATTACAACAAAACATCAAACATTAAATCTAGTCTGAACATTTTTAACCTTTACATTTTTTGTCAATTGTATAAAAATAAAACCCCTAGGATTTATTATTTTTTAGAGTTGTTCGTATTTATTTCAATGCACAATATTATCCACATTTAAAAATGAAAATATCATAGACGACAAATGCGTAGCGAAAAAAAAATTTTTCCAGAATTATCCCCCTACCAATTTATATTAAATCCACCCAGTTTATGCTGTTTTCCTTATTAAATTGTCTTGATTCGACAAATCATATATGTTACCGTAGTATAGTGTGTTAGTTCATACACAACTATAATAATCAATACGTATGTAGTATATATTTATATACTGTGTATGGAAGCAAAAGCCCGGAGGACACGGGATCCGCATAGCTGAACAATTCAAATATCGTGTCTTCCTATTTCTTGATTTACTTAATACGCACCTTAAACAACCAAAGCGATGTAAACTAGTTTCAGTAGTCTACACGGGCCTTTATACTCTCGCCATTTGGAAGTAATAATTAATAATTGAAAATATTACATGAGGAATATCGATACGTTAAAATACAATTTCATTGTAGAATGTATTGTCTATACAACGATAAATCATTACAAACGAAAAACAATTCTAAGCGGAGTTTGGTAAAACATGTTTTTAACGATTTTCGTCAAAATTTGAACTTAGTTTTAAAAAAAAAAAATAAAATACATTACTCAACTTTTTATATTGCTAAGAACAACATATTATAAAGCCATGATAAAATTTGCAAGCATTTCTATTCGGCCAAATCGATTTTAACCATAAAAATGGAAACTTAAAAACTAGAAAATGTTGAATGCCTATAAATAGCTCAAAAATAATCAGAATGATTAAAAAATCTACCAAATCTAGAAAAGGTTGATATTAGACTAATATCGTAAGTGTACGTGTTAATTCAAAGTCTGCAATTATTTATAATTAAATTACAAAAAAAAAAAAAAAAAATAGAAAATAACGAAACCATTATTACCACATAGTTTCCCGTTTATTCCAACTTATTTAAACAACTTAAAATTTAACTTTAAAAAAAAGCACCAGATAGAGACAATTTTCTTTTAAGAAATCAAGAAACTAGAAAACACTATTGAAGTTATTATTGGAGAAAAAATTGTTTGATCAGAAAATTGATTACTGATGGAAAAAAAAAAAACACACGGCATAGTAAAACTCTAATGCATTCCTCGCTTCATTAAGAATCAAAAACCTAGATAACAGGCCAAGGGCTATATTTTTTTTCGAAAATCTACAATCGGATTTATATCGTAATTGTGATTAACTAACTGGGTATAATATATAGACATATAAACAATAGAAATACGATGATAAAACATCGGATTGTCAACAAAACCGTTGAAAATATGTTTAACCTTCACTTAGGTGGGTACATCAAAGATGGTTGGATCGTGGATTAATCGACTAATTGGGCTTATAAAACGACAAGTAATACGATTACGTGATAAATACTATAAAACGACGATAGTATTTTCTCATTGTGGGAGTAATCCGATCGTTTTTGATTATAACCCGTTCAATTATTATCCGACAAGTTGAAGTAACGGGATTTGTCCTTATCAGTGATGGACATCGAACTATTTAATAGTTTAAAACGCATTCAAAAGATTTAAAACTATTTTAATAGTTTTTCCGAGTAAAAAAGTATTCATTCAGTCGTGCAAAAATTATTAGAATTAAACACACATGAACTATTTGAAATTTTCCACCAAGCGGTAGGTGTAAATATTTTATGATTCTGAGCAAAGTAAGGAATGTATTGGCATTACTATAATGTGTTATTTTTATTTTTATTTGTTTTGTATTTGTAAACAAATTATTTACAAAAAATCTTGCCCCGACCGAAAACTTTGCATGTTTGCGCATTGGAGAAGTCAATTTTTGATTTTCCTTGTGGTTTCCTTCACGAACGGAATAAACTGACAGTCAGTTGTATAATTCAACTACGACTGCTCAAAATCGTTTTTCATCGGCAATATAAATTTAAATACTCTGTGTCTAAGCCTACTACTATGTAGTATACCATAAAACTGTCCTCCTAAATTTAGTTTACGCTGGCATACCTATCAGCAGTATTGGCCTTTTTCATTTTTCTAGGTGTAAATAAAAATTGTGTAATATCGTTTTGCCTTTGGATATTCGATGATTATATTAGTTTACTAGTCGCGACGAACGCTCGAGGCGGTAATAATATGTTCGTACACACGCCGCCGTGTATAATTATATTAAATATGATCTCTGTCGGTCTTTGTGATGGCGCGTTGCGCATTTCCTGCGCCGTATTATTATCGGACGATTCGAGTGAGTAAATTTTAGCACTGTTAGGCGTTAACGCATATTTAAGCGATAATTATTATGACAAAAATCGTATGTTATACATATTCGTAC